GGGAGAGCGGCGGGCCTGGGGGCGGGGGACACCCGCTCCGGGCCGCTGCATCCCGGGTGAAATCGCTCGTCTTCCGTCAGCCTGACACTGGGACATGGAACCGAGCCTCGGGCTCACCGCTGTCCCCTGAGACCAGCAGGACCCTTCCACCCCCATCTCCTTGCACCCGGCCGCCACCCCGGTCCAGCACCCTGGGAAGGACGGTTTGCCTCGCCCTCGGCTGATGTGTACATTTATTATTGTAAATTCACTGCTCTCTCCTTATATATTTTAAAAACATATATTAAAGTCAGAAATGCTCCTTTCTGAACTACATATACTGGTGGATTTATAGGCTGATTTTGAAAAGGTGGGCAAACCAGGGAGCCCAACCTGATCAACACGCACAGCAGCAGCAGCAAATGCCCCTCTCCAGGGGCAAGGGAAAATTCATATATATAATGTACACATATATATATGTAAACCTATATATACATATACACACATTCATCACTCTCTACGCTCCCCCTCAGACACTCCAGCTCCTGCCCAGGCCATCCAAGGCTGGGCTCAGCCTGAGGAGGCTGGAGTTGAGTGGGACAGGCTTTTGGCAGGCACTGGCTGGGCTGAGTGCTGTGATTCTGTGAAGGCACCAGAGGACGGATTTGCGAGTCCCAGTAAAACAGGGAGACAGGGGCTTGCTGGGGCGTGGAGGCCCTGTGGCAGGACAGCTGAGGTTGGCAGTGCTACGGCAGGGAATCTGCTGCTCTGAAGGCACTGTGCTTGCAGGACATCCCCAGCGTGAAAGTAAACGCAGAGAACCATTTCCTAACCCAGCTGGCTGCCAGGGAATACTGTGGCCCAGAGGCCAAAATCTGCCTAAGCAATTCTCCCCAGACCCAGAGGCAGGGAAGGCCATGAGCAGCGAGAGCCCTGGCTGGGAGGGCCAGAGTGGTCCCACCGAGGCTGCTGTGGTCATCCTGCAGCAGAGCAAGGCACATGGCCAGGGAAAGACCCCACTGCCATCCTCACTGGGGAGGCAGACTGGCACTGCCATCACCTGCCAAGGAAAGGAAAAGCACTTCGGGTTTTTGGCTCTTCTGGCATAGTCTCAGTGTCTGGCTGGCCATGAGAGGAACACCCCCAGCACACCAAGTCTGCATGGTGAGGGGAGGGTGAGACCCCTGGTCCCCCATATCCCTTACAGATGGGGCCTCTGTACTGCCCCAGACTCAGACAGGGCAACCCTGGAGGCTTGGGGACAGATCCTGGCTCTGCCAGTAGCTGCACTGGGCTAGCACCCCTGCTCCCCAGCAGTGACCCCAAACTCAGCAGGCAGGGAAGGGGCAGCTCCTGCAGGGGACACTGGTTGCTGAAGAAGCCCCAGACACAGATCCCACCAGGAGGAGAGGGCACTGCATGCCCACACATGCACACATATGTACACATGCACCCAGGATCTCAGAGTCATTCATGATGGGGGAAGTCACTGGCAAAACCTGATCTGGGGGTCCCTGTCACGAGTCTTCAAGGCTGTCCCCCCAGGAGATCAGGCCATGGCCAGGCCCTCAGCAAGGCTGTGGATGTGGGCTGTGCTGGACACACTGCTCTCGCCTTTGTAACTTTTGGGAGCCCGACTGGCTTTCAGCAGG